AAAAACATTCAGTGCGCTAAACTATAATTGTGATGTAATATTTAGGCGGATAAAAATGTTACAAAGTTAGAGTTAGTTCTATCTATATTTCACGATCCAGAACATCGTTATGATCGTGTCAGGGTTTGGAGCAACAAGGACAGCTGTGTAAGTTAAATTTTCTGTTAAAATTCTATTATGAAGTCCATTTATAGATCCTCCATCTAGTAATACAGAACACATCAAAGAAAAAGTATTACATAGATCAAGGAAAAGTTTTCAGTACTGTAAATGAACTAATACATTATTTCTCGGAAAATTCTGTAGTTGTTAGAGGGGTAAGTCGCCTTGTTATTTTCTGGCGATCGTTTATTTTGGTCTAGAAGAAAGTGCAACTGAAAAAAGGTGTTACTTTGGCTCGGTGGGAATTTGAACCGAAAAGTGTTAAGATGATGGGGGAACAAATAGGCGGAACAGGATATGAAAAAGTGCGCAAATGTATTATAAAAGTTAGAGAGGTCGAAGTAGAAGCCGTTGCAATTACAGTGAGTTTCCCAAATTTTTACACCTTTTTACTTGATTGATTGTGAGCAATCTCTACAGATATCCGGGTTATCATCAAATGCACTGGAAATTTTGAAACGTAGAGCAAGGCAATGTCGTTTACTCCGAGACCTACGACATCCTTGCGTTGTGCATTATTACGGTGTGAGTATGCTGGCACCACCATGTCGATTTCTATGTGAATATGTGCAAGGTTTATATACTAGCTTTTGTAGCTGATTTCATAACAAAGAATTTCTAGGGGAAAAACTGAACATATACCTGACCAAGCGGCGCGGGAAGTTAAAAAGGGATGAGATGTTACGAATGACGGTCACCGCTGCATGGGGATTGGACTATCTTCATTCGAAAGGCATACTCCATTTGGATATGGCTGCTAAAAATTGTTTTTATAACGAAAAAGTGGTGAGAATTTCAGCATGAATATTTCAGCATAAATATAAATAATACAAAATTGATTTCGATGCGTAATGATTCTGCTCTTCACAGAATTTTCTTTAACTCCCTGCTTCCAATTGAATCTTCATGCACTATCTAAAAAGCAACAAAACGGACGACCATGCATTTATAGAATAATTATTTTAACACATTGACGACTGAGTCATTTTTGAGCACATCAAAATGGAATGATGATCAAGGCTGCGGTTTAGAATGTTCAACAGCTACTGCAATGCCCTGTGTCCTTTATGATAACCGGGCCACCATTATTATGACTGCAAAAAAATTCACCTTGAAACTTTTCGTCTACACATGAAAAATTGATGCACGAGTGCTAAGAGGTGGTCAGGGCGTGCATACGCGCGTATGCACAAGATCGCCAAGGTATTAAAGAGGCATCATTCCTTAGGGTTTCATAGTGTTGCTTAGGTCTGTTGCAATTGAAATTTTACTTTTAAGGTGAAGATTTACGGTTTTGATCTTGCACAAAAGGCACTCGTATACACAATAAAATCACTGAAAAAATTACCAGTTCGATGGTTGGCACCCGAATCGGTGGAAATGTTTCGATTTTCGCAAAAATCTGATGTCTACTCTTACGGGGTTCGTAGTTTATTACTATATGCAATGATAAAACTGTTTGTGCAGGTACTTGTGTACGAGATTTTTTCGCAACGAGAACCCTACGAAGGAAAAGTGAGGCAGGCGGCAGAAGCTGAAGTAAGTGCTCTTAAAACATCTCAGATTCACATTAGGTAGCATAGGATAAAAATTCTGACGGAAAGATGATAATCAGTAAAAATACAGTTCAATATCAGTCGCTGCTAATCAACGTTGATATAAGCAT